AAGACACATCCATTCAACAATACATATAAGCACCTAGTATGTGCCAGGGACTGCTCTAGGTGCTGTGGATCTAGCAGAAGATGCTAAGTCTCCTCCCAGAAGGAACTAAGAGTCTAGAGGGGGAGACCAGATAACACATGAGTCCACAGAGAGATAAGGTGATTTTCGTAGAGCCAGGTGTGACCGAGAAAACACAGTAGGACAATGACACAGAAGGCGACAGGGCTGCGGGAGAGGCTGAAGGACTTCAAAGCAGATGGTGAGGGAACGGCTCGCCGAGAAAGTCACCTCTGGGCTGAGACTTGAAGGAACAGAGGACACAGCCTTTTAAAGGTGGTGGAAGAACATTCCAGGAGGAAACAGCAAAAGCAAAAGTCCTGAGACAGAAACAAGCTTAGGATGTTTGAGGACAGAACGAAGACCGGTGTAGCTACAGCTGACCAAGCAAGGGGGCGAGTCGAAAAAGCTGAAATCAGAGAGATGGGCAAGGGCCAGGTCATACAGGCTCTTGGAAGTCATGAAAAGAATTTAAAATAGTAATAAAAATAATATAATAATCATTTTTATTACTGCTGCTATAAATAAGATGCCATTTTCCAAAACACCAAGCTTTCTAACTTAAGAAACACCAGGCTGCCCCTCTCCTACTGCTTTTCCACCGTTCTCCAATTTGTCATCCTGCTGGAGTGGAAACTGCCAATTCCATTTCAGTCCACAGCTATAAAAAGAACATTGGAGCTGGCGGTGCTGATGACCCAACGTGGGGGCTAAGATTAGCCCAGGAGGCTGTCACCTTTCCTTAATGTGAGAACCAGCTGGGGTTCCCCTTCCTTGGAAAACTTCGGCTGTTCCACTCCACCCCACCCCTCGGTGCTTTTGCCAGCCAAGCTGTCCGTGGAGATGGGAACGGGGATGAGTTTTGGAAAAAAGAAGTTGAGCAACAGGGATTCCCCCTGCAGAAGGGAGTCCTGGGCTGGGAGACGAGTTCTGGGGTCAAAAGAGCAGGGTCACCTCCTTGTCTGTCAGAGACACTGGGAACCAGACCCCCAGCCAGGGCAGCCCACCACTCCTCCGGGGTTCTCGAGTGATTCAGATACCCCTGCCCATCTCTTGGCAGCACCCCAGGAGTCACATTCACCCAGGCTTCGTTCCTTAAGGCAGACGGGAAAATATTCTAAATGGATCCTCTCGGCATCAACGAGCTGCTGCAGAAATCAAGGGTCTGTCTCACTGCAGCATGGTTCCAGTCAAGAGCTCAGAGCAGTTTAAGGGTCTTTGGGCAGATTGACCTGGTTCTAAGTTTTTTCAGAGTAGAACAGCTAATGGTCAGGCTGCAGATGCTGGAGCCCACGTTTGAACTCAGCACTGCAGTTTACCCAGTTGTGAGACCTTCACTACATTACATAAACTCTCTGAGCTGAGTTTCTCATCAGTAAAACTGAGAGAACAGTAACTCTCTTATAGGCCTGTCATGAGGAAATCAGATTAGTCTGAATACACATAAAAGTGCCTAGAACAAGGCCTGGTATGTAGCTTACTATTATTACTTATTATTCTTTTTCAATATCTCTTGGTTCCATGAGATAAAAATATTACTCATTTTTGTCCTTCCACAGCCTATGTCTAATGATAATAATAAAAGCCAACACTGAATGAGCATCTACAATGTGCTAAGCTCTGGGCAAAGAGCTGAATCTGTACCATCTCATTTAATCTTCTCATCTCTCAAGAGAAGCGAATCACCTATCTTTTCCAAAAGAGGAAATGTTGACTCAGAGAGGTAAAATGACTTACCCAGAATGTCAAAGTAACAAAATGCAGATCATGGATTTGAACCCAGACTGCCTGACGTCAGCCTGTGCTTGTAACTACCACAGCACAGGGCCTCTCAAAGCTTGCTCAGCCCAGGCCGGTTCCTGGAGCAGCGTGCCAAGTCAGTGAGGGCTATGGCCTGAGCAATCACAATGCGGGAGCAGCAGTAAAAATACCATCAGACATTCAGTGAGCCCGCTCTATGCACTAAGCACACACCATTCATTTACTCGTTTAACTCTAGGAAGGAAGGACTGCTCTTCTCTCATTTTACAGAAGGGAACCGAAGCCTATGGAGGTCGAGCAGGACAATGCTGGGTATTATCTGTGGGTGAGTCCCCTGCCTTCCCCAAGCTTAGCTGTCTGCCTCCCACGGGTGCCGGGTTAGGTGAGACAGTATGTGCACAGCAGCAGGCAAAGGGCCCGCCCACAGATGGTGGGCAATCAGAGGGGGCTGTTATTATTACTCTTATTAATATGCAACTTTTTTAAGTTGAAACAGATTCTGAGGTTTTCTCTCTTCAAAAGGTAAACTGTAAAATTTCTTTTGAAAGCCAGAGAAGGCAAGCTACAGGGCAAATGCCATTCACTCTTTCGTTTGTTTATTTGTTCATTCAACAAACACTTAATTGATGCCCTTGAGTTGGCATCACAGGTATGTGAGCTCCCCGGACAACTGAAAGGTGGCCGGCTTCCACTCTACCAGGAACATGGCAGGACCTGGCCTCCAGGCCATCCCCACATGTTGGTCGGCTCTCCCTGGAAAATGCCAACCCGGACTTGGATAACAGGATGTCTGTATATTATTAGCATTTCTCCTCTGCTAATAAGGCACTTTGAGACCATACACTTCTTGTGAAAGTCAGCAGAAGGGCAGCAGGATGGTTTCCTGGTCAGGAGACACGTCAAAGCTGCAGAGGCTAAGGTTTACTTGGTCATTTACACTCGTGCCCCTGTCCTGCTCAGGAAGTCACGATGCGGCCCTTACCCACGGGCAGACCATGCCAAGGCTGTGGATCTACCTTGTGCTGGGAGATCTCTGTTCTGGCATCTGCCTGCTCATCAAAACATTTCTGGGTTTTACTCCAGCCACATGACTCTCTGACTCACAAGAGCCTAACAGATTCTTACCGTAGAGAAAATGTTCCACCACCTGAAAAACAAGCCTCCCCAAGATGCTTAAAAACGTGCACACCCCTGTGAATCCAGTGTACCACATACAGGCCTTTGCCTTAGGAAATGACAATAACAGACAGCTTTAGTTAACATATAATGAGTACTATATGCCAAGCATTTTGTAGTGCTTAACATGTATAAATTCCTAATCTCATGACCATCCTATGAGGCAGGACTGTCATCATCCCATTATACAGATGAGGAAACTGCTGCCCAGAGAGGATAAGTAACTTGCCCAAGGTCACACAGCTAGAAAGCAGTGGAGTTGGGTTTTGAACACAAGCAGACTGGCTTAAGAGCATGACAAAGGGAATGTAGAGGCTGTTTGTCACTGAGTTAAAGAGCACAGAGATGGGAGCAGCCCAATGCCCAATACAAGGGGAATGGTTAAACAAAGTGCTAGACAAGCATGTGATAGAACGCAATGCATCCATTTAAATATCTGTGCCCCTCACCCCTCACTGCACCACTGCTGCCCCTCAGACCCGCGGTAACAGGCCTCATGCCTTATAAACCACTCCCCAACTCCCATACATCCCTCTCCAGCCCCCACTGACATGCCTTACTTAATGTCCTCATCCTTTTTTTTTTTTTTTTTGCAACAGCTTCATCAGACCTCCTTAAAATCAGATCAACTCTACTCTCTTTCATGCTTTCAGTGGGAGAAAGCAGTTCTCATACCCTGGTCACAGGGCCAGCCCACCCCAGCAGGGGGCTTTGTGTGGACTGGGAAGCAGCCTCCTTCCCCATGACACTCTGTTTCCTCCTGTCAGCAGCTGTCTTAGTGATACAGACTGAGGAGGTATCTAGTTTGAATGGCAGCACCCCAAGGAGGTGCCCTTGTGCAATGCACAACCTCCACAACTAGACGGTCTGTCCATTACATTGTGTCTCATCCTAAAACAGAAAAACATCAATTCCCCTTTGAAATAATATAACCGAAGTCATGTCCATTAGAGAAAATAAGGAGGTCTAGCACCTATAGCAATGAAAGAACCTCATAACCTGATATTTTTCCTGCCTCAGATCATTCTCTTTTTACCATGTCCTCATTGGCAAAAGATATTAACAGGCAGTGCACAGAAGACAGAATACATATGGCCAATAAACAACAACAAAACTCATACCAAAGGAATGCAAAGTAAAAAGAAGTACGAATTCAGCAAAATTTTTCTTAGTTAACGAAAAATGGCACTTCTGGGATGGGATGAAACCATTACAGACAGGGTATTTAAAGTTTCAACTTGTAGATTTCTGGAAGGTAATTTAGTAATATGTATTTAAAGCTCTCAAATGACTACCCAAAATTCCATGCTAGAAACAAACCCTGAATAAAAAAAGATACACATAGAGATTCATGCATAAAAGATGAATTCACCCTAGAAGTATAAGATGATGAACTACAGCACTGTTTATAATAAAAATATAAGTAGCCTTATGTGTGCTGGCTTACAATATACCTGCTACTGTTATAATTGCACAACATATATTAACTCAGTGGCTTTTGTGACAACCCTAAGGGGTAAGAACTCTTGTTATCATTCTGTCTGTAAGGAAGTGGAGGCACAGAAAGGTTAGGTAATTTGCCTAAGATCACAGAGCAAGCAGATAGCAAAGCCAGACTATGACCCCAGGATATCCAGGGCCAGAGCACGTATGCTCACTCGCCATGCTGATCAACCTCCCTTTTTGATAGCAGTGAAAAGTTGAGAAAATTTGCCTCTGTATGTGAAAAAATAATTTCAAAGAAAGAGTGGAGGTTGATGGATAACCTTATCAATGGAACAACCCAGAATCAGCTTCAACACATAATGGTACATTCACGCAGCGGGGACCTGTGTCAACATCAAAATACCTGGAGACCTGGGAAACCTCTCAAGGTGAGCAAAAAGGGCAGAAGATTCTACATCTACATGATGGCATCACCCCCAAGCCAGTGCTCTTTGGAGGAAAAAGATGGTGGCTTTTCCATGGGGTCAGTGGACACAATAGAGCTCAAAAAGCCCTCTAACCTGTGGTCTTCTCAGTAAACACGACTTTGGACTCGGCTGTGAAGTTCTGTCCGGTGAGAATCATCTGCTGGCCCCCACAGACCAGGCAGCTGTCGATGTCCTGTCTTTCCACCATGGGCAGCTCGTGGGCGGATCGCTGGGCTGAGGACAAGAGGAAAGAAGTCACTGTGATGGTCGGAGACGTCTGCTCAGGGGAGGCTTTCTGATTTCATGGCGACTGGACGCACTCTGCCCACCCATCCCCTGTTGTCCTCGCCAGTGTGGAACCATCAGCCCCGACAGCCAGAGGCTCTGCAAATGTAATGCTCCTGTAAACGTGCCCTAAGCTATTTGGGCTGATTTCCTTCTAAGAACGTGTTTCATTTTCATGACTGCCTGTTCTCCTTATAGAGAGGGCAGGCCATGAGAATTTGATATTCATTTTTTATAGGCAGACAGGCAAATCAACTTTTTTCATAAGAGATTCCTTTGCTAGATGAACTCTTGAACTCCTCTGCATCTGATGTCAGCAAACCCTTGAAGGGATCCTGCATGCTAAACTGCAGGATCTGGTTCCCCAAGGGTTTAGACATATTCTCTTTGGAATTCATTCATAATACTGAACACGGTCTTCAAAACGTCCATGAGCTTGCCCCCCAAAACCCTCCGACCTCATTTCCCAGAACTCCCTCCCTCCCCCGCCCCCCCTCCTCTGCCTCAGCCACACTTACAGAACATTCTCTCTGCCTCTCAGACACTCTCAGCACAGCCCTATCTTGGAGCACATGCACTCTCCACTCCTGTTCTCTGGGAAATTCTTCCCAAGTACCAGGTTTCTACTCAGATGTCACCTCCCCTAGGGTAAGGAATTACCACTAACCTTCCACACTCCCAGGGGCAGTTAAAACAGCAGCACCTACCTCCTGTCTCCCTCCCTCCCTCCCTCTTTTGACCTACTTTAACCCTGCTTTTTCTCCAAAGAGCTCTTCATTTTCACTGATGCTGCATGTAGCTTTTACTGGTTTATCTGATTTTCATCTCGCCCACAGCTAAAAAGCAAGTAAGCTCAAGGCCAGATGCAGTGCCTAGGACTTAGCAGGAGGTGCTCACGATGGATCGAATGATGGAAGGAAGGAAGGAGACAGATATGGAAACATCTCATTATATCTTAACACATGCACACATACATGTACACACTGACATCTCTTATAATCTAGATCTATTTCTGCAATGAATGGAAGATGGAGGGAAAGGACAGGCCTATGCTGAGCATTTAACTACAATGATACACTTGAATGCTCACAGCAACTTTCTGAGGAAGGAAGTATTACAATTACTCACATTTGACTGGGAAAAAAACTAAAGCTAAGAAAAGCCAGGTCACCCCTTGGTCAAAGGTATGTGGTTAGGCTTATGTCTGAACCCTCCAAGGCGGTTTGCCTAGCTCCCGGGGTCCATCCCATAGCCACAGCAGCCAGCCCCCAATTCCTGGGGAAGGCAAGCTGCAGGAAAGAATCAAGACCCTCTGCAGCTATCTTCCCTGGGCAGGATGAGAAACTGGCCCCAGTCACGGTGAGGGATTGGTCTGCTCAGGCCTCGCCTTGGCAGTGTGGGCTGCAGAGGCTGGCCCTCCCCTCTGTGAGTCAGTCTGAACTCCTGGCATCCCTCCCGGAGCCCAAGAACTAGGCGGAGGGCCAGCTCTTTCCGTGCCAGGGGCCTGTGGACCTCCCCATCCGGGAGCCAGGGCAGCAGCCACATGAGGCCCGAGGCCCAAACCTAACCCTTCCCTCCTGGCCAGCCTGGGCCTCCAGGTGGCCGAGCATCCCCTGCATTTGTCCTGAAACCAGCTCCCTCAGAAGCAACCATGCACTCCCCAACATGTAAGGGATCTGCTGTGGGTGAGCCGCATGCTCCCAGACTTTCCACCTCAGAAGTGTAACCCAGCCCCCTGCCCATTTCTCCCCATGCCCAGCTTAGCCCAGGCTCTCTGCTCCCAGGGACCAGCCAGCACTGTTCTCAGGGGCTGCCCCATTTAGAGCATATATTAAAAAGGCCTCTCTGCAGAAGCTGCTAACTTGTCCCACATGTGCTGGGTTACTAATCCTTTCTTTCAATATAGGAGTTTTGTAGGACTTCCTAATTGAGCTGCCACAAATGAGGATTTATTAGCAGTGTAAACAGCAGCCCCATTGCCTAGAAAAGCAGGTCCCAGCTTCTAAGATCTGCCTTTGATGAGGCTGTGGGGCGGCAGGGGGCTTCTGGCCCCGGGGATGGGTGGGGAGACATCAGGAGCCATCCCTCCCATTCTGCAGGTGGAAAGCCTGAGTCATTGCTACTGGGCAAGATGGCCAAGGGCTCGCAGCCAGCCAGGCCGGGGGGCTGGCCATGAGCTCTGGACGCTGGGTGGGAGGCTGGCCGGGCCGCTTGGCTGTGAGTCACCATGTACTGCTGTGAACACAGCTCAGCTCTCTCCCGAAGCAACCTCACTGCTTCCCCCTTCAAAGCCCCACAGTCCCAGGCAACCAGCGGCTTCTCCCTCTGCCACGTTTGCACTTCCCACCCTTTCTCCTCACCTGAAGAAAAGCTATCTTTAGTAGTGAAAATTTAAAGAGACGGAATGAGAAGCTTTTACCAGGACTCCAGTCTTACAGCTCAAAGTGGGGGCCGGGAGCGTCGGCATCACTGGGAGCTTGTTAGAAATGCAGAACCACGGGCCCCACGTCCAACCTAGGGAACCCCAATCTGCAGTGTGACCAGGAATCTGGGTGATTCATGCGTACAGTCAAGTTTGGGAGGCTTCTGAGCATTAGAATGAGCAGGGGAGGTAAAAAAAAAAATACTGATACCCAGGCCCTAATTCCAGAGCAGAGGTTCCCAGCCTAGGCACTATTAACATCCGGCCAGCATCAGCCTCTGCTGTGGGAAACTGTCCCCTGAATTCAGGATGCTGGGCAGCATCCCTGGGCTCCACCTACTAGATGCACAGCTTTCCACCCCCACTGACAACCAAAATTGCCTCTAGATGTAGCTGATGTCCGCTGGGGAGAAGGGGCTGACAGCCATAGTCTAGAGATTCTGATTTCAGCGGTCTGAGGGGGGGACTCCAGCAGGGCAGATTGTTGGTTTTTTTTTAAACAGTCTTTAATGATTCTGAGGGGCCACCTTCGAACCAACACAGCGGGATTACCAGGACCCTGGGGGCCGTGGGAACATTCCTGGTTTACAGCTGCTTGGGCCCTGGGATCAGAAAGCCATGGTTTCAAGCCCTGCCTCTGCCAGCTCCCAGCTGTGTGGCGCTGGGCAAGTCACTCCATTTCTCTGAGTCACAGATGCCTCCTCTGTAAAATCCTCATAGTACCTGCCCTCATGGGTCTGCTGTAAGCAGTACAAGAGGCACTTCATGTAAACATGTGAACATGGTCAATATATATTTGATAAAATATTTAGTATCAGTAAACCAAATGTCCATCAATGGGTGGATAAACAGGATGCAGTGTATCCATACAGAAATATTATTCAGGAGTAAAAAGGAATGAAGTACTGGTACAAGCTACAGTACGGATGAGCCTTGAAAACATGGCAAGTGAAGGAAACCAGTCAAAAGAGGATAAATACTATATGATCCCATTTATATGAAGTGTTCCCAGGAGGCAAATCATAGAGACAGAAAACAGACTGGTGACTGCGAGGATCTGGGCAGTGACAGCTAATGAGTATGGGGTTTCTTTTTTGGGGTGGCACAAAGTTCTGGAATGAGATGGTGGTGGTGGCTGCACAGTGCTGGGAATGTTCTTAATGCCGCTGACTTGTACACCTTCAGATGGCCCAAATGGTGAGTTTATGTCATGTGTCTTGCGCCACAGTAAAAAAGTACCTAATGTAAAACAAAGCACTTAACCCATGCCTAGAACACAGTAACCGCTCAAGAAATTAGTCTTTAGGACGGTTAACTTTCAAAATGCTGCTCTTCTTTGCTTAGTCATTTTCAAAATGTTTTCTCATTTATCTTTTTAAACCCTTAATTAAAGGCCCCCCATCCCTAGCACTGAGACATTGTTAATGCCATTTAATAGAAAAGCAAATACTCAGGACTTGGCTGCAGTGGGGCAGCCCCTGCCAGGGTGAAGGCTGGTTAGTGAGGGACAGCCCCTCCGTTCCAGCACAGGGTTCCCAAACAGTGATTCTTGTTTGGAGCTTCTCAGTGCCAAACCTCAATTTCCCCATCTGAAAAACGGGGCTATTGACAGATCCACCTCACAGGTTGTTGTGAGGATTAAAGGGGAGAATTCCCAAAAAGCGTATTTGCCTCAATATTACCCAGGCAGGTGAATGAACAATATTAAAAGCTATAGCTTCTCGAGCAGCGTCCATGTGCTAGGCACCAGCTAATCCCTGCTGTCCTACACTAGACATTTCAACAAACATGTGTTGACACATATGTTTACACACATTACTGCTCTCCTTCTGTTGTCTTTGGTGAACCCTGAACCATAACCCAGGTTTCTCAACCCTGATTGTCAGTGTTTTTCAAAATGGGGTTCCCAGGCCACGTGCAGCTGCATTACCTGGTTGGGGGAGGCACTTAATTAAAATGCAGATGCCCCAGGCCATGCCCTCCACCCACTACACCGGAATCTCCTAGACAGAGCTGGACATTTGCATCTTAGCAATCTTTCCAGGTCACTTGTTCCACACAGTGGTTTGAGAGCCAACTTCCACACTTAAGAGGCCACCTGAGAACAAGGGGACCTCCTCCAGGGGAGGCCCCAGCATCCTCAGAGAGCCCAGAGGCAAAGCAAACAAATCCAATTAGCCTTCGAAAGAGGAACTGAGCAGTGGCAAACAGCAACCAGAATTACCCTCCGGGGGTCCACTTCCTTCTCTCTCTCTCTCTGACGCAACCTCTGATACCTATGGCTGCTAATTGGGGTGACACTATCCAGGACCTATGGGAGGCTCTCAGGAAGCCCGCTGGGCCTCCCAGGTCTGCATCACCCCCACCAGTACCCACTGTCTCCCATTCAGCTTTCCAACCATCAGAGACTCTAGGCCATCAAACCACACTCCCTGCAGTGTTAGACCAAACCAGGCGCTGCCATTTGGAAGCCACCCTGAGGGCCTGTGTCTCGCCTGTGGGCCAAGTCTAGGCCCTCTGCTCCAGC